ATATAGTATATAGTATATAGTATATAGTATATAGTATATAGTATATACTCAGCAATGAAAAATAAGGAAATCATGAAATTTGCAGGTAAATGGTGGGACCTGGAAAGGATCATCCTGAGTGAGTTGTCCCAGAAGCAAAAAGACACGCATGGTATATACTCACTCATATAAACATACAACATAGAATAAACCCACTAAAATCTGTACATCTAAACACACTAAGCAAAAGAGAGGACCCTAACTAAAATGTTCAATCCCCATCCTGAAAGGCAAAGAGGATGGACATCAGAAGAAAAAGAAAACAGGATACAACCTTGGAACTTTCCACAGAGGGCCTCTGAAAGCCTCTGCAGTATAGACTGTCAAAGCAGATGCTGAGCCTTATGGCCAACTGATGGGCGGAGTAAATGGAATTTTATGTAAGAAGTGGGAAATAGTAAGAGCTGGAGGGGACGGGAACTCCACAAGCAGAGCAACAGAACAAGATAATTTGAACACAGGGAACTTCCCAGAGACTCATACTCCAACCAAGGACTATTCGTGGAGATAACCTAGAACCCCTGCACAGATGTAGCCCATGGCAGTTCAGTGTCCAAGTGGGTTACATAGTAATGGGAAGAGGGACTGCCTCTGACATAATCTGATAGGCCTGCTCTTTGATCACCTCCCCCTGAGGGGGGAGCAGCCTTACCAGGCCACAGTAGAGGACAATGCAGCCACGTTTGATGAGAACTGATAGACTAAGATCAGAAAGGAGAGGAGAACCTCCCCTATCAGTGGACTTGGGGAGGGGCATGCATGCAGTAAGGGGAGGGAGGGTGGGAACTGGAGGGTAGGAGGGAGGGGCTTATGGGGGGATACAAAATGAATAAAGTGTAATTAATAAAAAATTTAAAAAAATAAAAAAAATTTAAAAAGTGAGTCAAAAAGAAAAATATTATAAATAAACCCACAGCAAACAGGAAATGTGTTTTGTGACTTATATACATGTTATATTACAGCCAGGATTAGAAAATTTAGAAATAGCAAACAATGATCATCCAGTTTATATTTGGTACACTGTTTAGATGCAATTATGCAGCAAAGTCCAGGATGAATATGAAAAATGAAGACATGCCATTTCATAAAAAGTTGCAAGGTTATGTTTCTTTGCTTTATGTTAAAAGAATACATCTCATTGTTTGTGTCCCAAAGGCTCAATAAAATGACAAATTAATATTATATTCTAGCTTATATCAATGTGCTAGATAAATAGGCATTGATACACCCTACTACAAAGACCGTAAAACAGTTCGTAGCTTTGATACATTTATTTAGAAGCCACCAAGTTACTGACTGGAAACAGCTATAGTAGAAAATGTAAGCCACATGGTGTCATTATGAATTTAGTAAAAGACAGGGTTGAGAGTAGTGGGATTTGGAGAAGGTAGGAAATTGACAAAACCCTTGTTTGGATCTGACTAAATTATGCAGAAAATAATATTTAGGTAATATAGTGACTTATCTGTGAGATTCTTGGGAGGGGTATACAAAAAAAAAGGTAGAATATAAACACAATCTTTCCACCAAGTATTAAATTTCTGCTCTGGCCAGGGTTCTAGGGTGGAATAAGATGAAGGGACATAACCTGTCTTCACCAGTAAAAAAACAAACAAACAAACAAACAAACAACAACTCATAAAGTTGTGTTGTATAATTATTCTTCAGCTCTAGAACTTCTAGTTCATGCTCTAAGTCACAGGAGCAAGAGTTTCAAAGTTCTGTTAATTTTAGTCAATAAGTGCCATTTAACTGCTTTATCTAATAGCGTGACTTAGAAGAGTTATCGAAAGGCCAAGCAAGGTCACAGAAGGTGTGTCTTCTTATTGGTGGCTGAGCTTCAGCACGTGCCAGAACTCACATGGATGTGTTCAGTGGAAGCAATTGGTCCTACGTTGTCACCAGGAATTTTCAAAATCTGTTATTCAGTTACCAAAGTGTTTTTTTCACTCTTGCTCATTGTTCTGTGTTTCTACTTTACTTCGGAACAGTTTTTTTTTCCCCCTTTTTAAATCACGAAATACGTCATCATGGAATGATGAAAATTTCCCATTGGCAGTCTCCTCATGCATTCTTTAAATGTTCATTGAAATTAATTTTCTTAAAATAAGAAAACTCCCTCTCTTATCTAAAAACACCAATACCTTAAAATTTTTATTCCCTTGGTTCTCAAGAATTGTACACCTGCATACAAAGGATCAGTAGGAAGGCTACCTGCAGTTTTGTCCCCTCAACTTATGTAATAAAGCTCAGTATGGTAAGTGTATGATTTTTGTGCATTGGTGCCATACACTGCACTCAGAGGTAACCTCACTCTCAGCTAACTTTCTAGACTGAGTGCATAGAGTTCTTGCCTTTCATCATTGAATTTTTCACGTATCCTTCCTGAAGTCTAGTACATGCTATTTTTAAATTTTGCGTATTTTCAATTGCTTTAGCAATTGAAAGTTATCATATTCAAAAACAAGTAAACAGAAAATACATAAACAACTATGAAAAATAACTGCATGCTAAAAGTTTGAACAACTAAAATCAACATCCCTTCCTTCATTTTCAGCTGTTAAAATGCTGAAAGCATTTTCCCTCATTACAAATAATAATATATTATATAGTATATACAGTACTATATAATAATATAGTGTTTCGGGCCCTGTAAAACTCATTTTTGTTATATTATGGAGAATTATCATTGACTATATGTTTTGTCTTAGAGCTGTCAGTCACTTCCGTTGAATAATGAAAATAACTTAAAAATGTTAATGAAGAAATGACGTTACCGAATGACAGGCTCTGTGTGCATGTGATGTCCAGAAATACACGCAGGCCTAGCACCCATGAACATAAAACAAAAATAAATAAATCTTTAGAAAGAGAAAGCAACCTACACCACCCCTAATTACACTTTCATTCCTATTCCTTTTCTTTCCTCAGTTCTTTCGTGTAGCTAAGGTTTTTCCTCGTTACTGTTTTTACTTTTATCTACTGTGTCTTAAAACAAATTTGGGATCAAGTTTTATGTCTTAGACACATAAACTTTACAAATGCTTACTAGAGTAGTCATGGATATTAGAATATAGAATGGCATTAATCTTAGAAAACAAACTTACTTTGGGGAAATAGTATATTACATGTTGACTATGACACTGAATTTTACTTTATCCTAACTTTTGCAACTATTAACAATGATTTGGAAAGAGTAAATTCAATACTGGTAACTTCCTCTTTCTATAAGTCAGAGCTTACAGAAATATACTAGAGAGCAATTTCTAGGTCAGAATAAATTAGAGTTTGTAATGTATTTGCCTATATTGAGAAAGCATAAAAAAAGAAATGAGGTAATTTTGTCAGGGTTTGATGCTCATTGTTCACTGAAACATAATGCAAGTTATATCTTTAGCTATAAAATAAAATAATGAGGCAATATATCCCCAGTCATTCTCATAGATTATAAGCTCAATATTCCAATTGTGTATATTTAATGACTACACTGCTGATCACTTATTTCCAAATGGTATTTAGAGATAATAAGGTCTATTCTTTGCAGTGTGCTGTGGAATTTGCTTTTCCAAAATGAAGGGTGCAAACAATTCTGTTCATGTTACCAGGTTCGGTAAATCTCATAGCATATCCCTTTAAAAAAAAAAAATCTATGTCAATTGGCTTTTATTCACAGCCTTGAAAAGCCTATAGTTTTAGGAAACTAAAGTAACATTCTTAATTTTCTGGATGTCAAAAGAGGATATTGGCCCCCTGGAACTGAATTTATACAGGGTTATGATCTACCATGTGGGTACTAAGGAGCCAAACTGGGGTTTCTGCAAGAGCAGCTAGTTGTTTTAAACTATGAGTCATCTCTCCAGCTCCCGAGGCTTTTCTTTAGGGTAGGTATCTGTCTACCAGTTTCTGTTCAATAACTATTAGCTTCTGTAGTAGAATGTCCCATTAGAACTCTTATGTGTTCCTAGTGTGAAAACACTGGGACTTTCTGATCCAAATGTTAAAAACACCTTCATAGTTGAGCAATGGAAGGCATCCACAGTGAATACATGTTATACAGTTCCACTTGGAAAATTCAAAGCAGGTGGAACCTATGTTAGTTATTCTGTTACTATGAAAACAAAATACCTTAAAACAACTAAATATAGTAAGATGAAGAGAAAGAATGGTGGAATTTTATGATCCTTGCTCAGTAGCCATCCTAGTCTTCTCTGTATCTTTCCAATTTCAGTATATGTGCTGACTAAGTGAACACAAAGGTGGAATTCTGTATGCCACTCCTCTTCAGAAAGAAGTCTGCTTGTCTGTACTCATTCATAGTAGCTCTCACACAGACTTTTTCAATGTCCTTTTTTTTTCTGAGATAGCTCTAGCCCTCCACATCAGATAGTTCCTGGAGGGATGTAGAGTTGACTCCAGAAGACATTCGAGAGGTGTATTATTAGAGATGCCCATAGAGCTGATTAAGTTAAGAGTGTAAAGGGCAGCAGTGGGACCTGAAAGGACATCATTGATTTTATAAACCTGATGCACAGCTAACCAGGGGAATAAGATTGAGCTCCCTGATAGTATTCTGTGTTCTCCACTCTGTAAAGAAACTAGCTAAAGAGATGTTAGGCTGGTTTCTTCAGGGTGTTTAACCCACTACTTTCTTGTACCACTGCTCATCTGAATAAATCACAATTCAAAATTTAAACATCTGTCTCTTCTTTTTGTTTGCGGTGACAAATGGAATAAACATTAGTTTTTTTTTTCCCCATTACTAATGAAAAAGAGATTCATCTTTGCTGTAAGGCCTATTGTTTTAGATGTTTCTGTCACTAATCTTAGGATCCATTGTTTTTGAGTCCCTAGTATGGAGAATATTATGGCAAAGGACATGGTGAAACAAAGTTGTTTACTTCATGTTCACTAGTAAGTAAAGAAGTAAAAAAGAAGGGTCCAAAAACAAGATAAAGCCTTCAAGACATATTAAATGACTCACTTTATCCAAACTGCTGTGCTTATGCCCTATTTTCCATGACATCTCAATAATGGCATCAGAATTTTAAGCTGCCAGTGTGTTAATCTACTGGCCATATACGGGTTCCCTATTGAAAGCACCACCAGCTAGAAACAAAATATTATATCCATTACCATGTGGTAAAAACATATTTAAACCAACACAGACTTCAATCTTCTCAGGCAGACATCGGAACAGTGTTTGTCAAAGGTGGTAAGAGATGCTCTCTAAATTGGAACTGGTCTTAGAGAAGGTTGTAAGGATGCTTTCAGTTTCTCATTCCTTGATTATTAATAGCCATGAATATATCCTTTGACAAAGATCATGGAAATGTACCTAAGGATTACAATCTTTGCTGCATGTGTGTTATAGCTATGATACTTTAAAGTTTATAGAGACAACCATATTTACTTGAAAATAAACAGCTTAAAAAGTCCTCTATCTTGTTCCATCCCCAAATGCACACAAAACTAACAGAACGCCACCTGCTAGGAGCCTGAAGCAGACAAAAGGACCATCTGCCAATCTTTCTATACTCAAATCACTCTACTCTTTCCTCCATCTTTTGTGCCCCAAACAGAAGGAACACCCGTCTTCCTACTGTGGTCCTCAAATTAAGCATCTGTGTGTTTTGATTTCTGAGAGCTAGATGAAGGGTATCCTGCCACTGAAATGGGATAATAGTAGTCTTTTTTCCCCTAGCACCAAAAATTTAATGGATGACATTTTCTTCACTTGATACTTTTTCTTTTGTGAAATTATCGTAAGTATTTGTTCTCTGTTATAACCATCTTTCCTATGGAACTTATCAAAAGTGAAATTGGCCAGAAAATAGTAAATTCACAACAGAGAAAAATATATAAATGGTTGACCATATAGACAGCATTTTTAAGTGGGTAAATATGTTGGCCATGAAATAAAGGTTGATATGTGTTGTATATCTTACAAAGACAAAAGTTCAGAGGGCTTTTTATAGAGCCTGAAGCTCTAATAGTGGTCTGAGATCTAGTGTCCCAACATAGAATCTGAGTAGATCTAGAATTTGTCCCTAGAAAATAGCTGTACTCAATGAGGTTGAAAGGGACACAAAAGCAATTAAGTGTTGTGGACCCCAGAAAAGTGTTTGTGTTTTCATTTACTCATCTTACAGAATAGTAATAAATAACCCAGTTCCCTCCAGGTAAAGAAAGGGTAGCAGTGTAGGTTATGTCTTAATCAGTTTTCCATTTATAAAAAACACCATGTTATAAGTTATAAATGGACCAAATAATAGCTAGAGTATAGGTTATTTTGGCTCCAGTTCTGGTTCAATATGAAAGAACCACAACTGGAATTGGTCCTATTAGCTGAGTCCCAAGCAGTGATAACATGCAATAACAGAAAGGTTCATGTGTGGTTCTATCTCTTTTCCTGTAAGGTCACCAGGACTCATTAAAAAGCTTTCTTCATGACTTTACATAACTTTAATTACACCCCCCAAAGATAATTGCCCTCTATGAATACCATGATCAGATTAATCTGTACCCTTTTAATTAATCTCTCTCTCTCTCAATGGGTGCTATGCTTAAATAAATGAAACCTGGGGGCTCATTTGAACTGTAACAACACACAACAGCTTCTTTGCTTTATCCTCTTTTGCAGATGAGGAGAGACTAAGTGAGATCTCTCAGGAGCAGAGAAACATAAGATATGGCTTTACATGAATTTGTTTTGAGCTTATTTTTTTTCAAAACCATTGTAAGTTTTATTACACTAGAGACTTATCTTATTTCTTATTTTTTATGCTAGCTTTATTTTATAGATGGGAAAATAAATTTAAAAAATATTTCTAACATTTTCCTTATCTAAAATACTTGGAACCAGACATGTTGAAGATTTCACTTTTTGTTCAACTTTTAGAATGTGTATGTTATAAGATATCTTAGGAAAGAATCATAAATCTAAACACAAAGTTTGTTTATGTTTCATATGTACCTTGTACATATACCTTAAATGCAATTTTTACAGTATTTTCATGCACCCACTTTTTTAGTGATCTGTTGCATGAGATTCAGGTGCAGAATTTTTCCACTTATAGTAAATTTAATATTTCTTCTTTCAGAAGTTTCAGGCCTTAGAATATTTCATATTTAAATGTTTATTTGAGGTGTCATTGTACTGTATTTAGTTTGGGTCCAAAGCTAGATCTGAAATCTAAAACCTTCTGGAGAGGACAGGAGCTCCACAAGGACCAAATATATCAGGGCACAGGGGTCTTTCATGAGACTATTTCTCCAACCAAGGACCATGAATGGATATAACTAGAACCCCTGCTCAGATATAGCCCACGGTAGCTCAGTACCCAAGTGGGTTCTCTAGTAAGGGGAACAGGGACTATTTCTAACTTGAACTCAATGGCAGGCTCTTCGACTCCCCCCCGCCCCCAAAGAGGAGCAGCCTTGCTAGGCCACAGAGGAGGACAATGCATCCAGTCCTGAAGAGACCTGATAAGCTAGGGTCAGATGGAAGGGGAGGAGGTCCTCCCTTATCAGTGGACTTGGAAAGGGGCAGGGAGGAGAAGAGGGAGGGAGGGTGGGGTTGGGAGGGAATGAGGGAGGGGGCTACAGCTGGGATACAAAGTAAATAACCTGTGGTTAATATAAAAAATAAATTATTATAAAAAAGAAAAAGAAAAACCTTCTATTGCTGCCCCAAGATTTTTAACCTATTCCTTACTTTAAAGCCGAAAAAAAAAAAAAAAAGCTTAAGTGATACTTTTACTCAGTTTCCCCTATGCTTTGAATAAAGGTAACTAATATCTTCTTTTCTTAATTCTCCTTAGGAGAAGATTTTCTATTTTAAGAAATAAACTTGCCAAACCCTTTAATCCTGGAGATTTCATAGAGTGTCCTTTTTCTTTAAATCTGAAGGACATGTGTCACTTTACCATTAATCATTATGGCAGTCTTCTTCATTCAAAGCTCATTATGTTGTTATGGCCAGCAAAGAGAGCAGCACGTGCATGAACAACTGGTGAAGAGAACGGAAGGTGTAACCAGGGAGCTTGAAGCTTAGAGAGGAGTTCTTACTATATCCCCAAGATCTGAGGCTATTTAAGGAGGGAAATTCTCATTTTGTGCTAATAAATACTTAAAGATTTAAAAACTAGAAAGTTGAGGAATAAAAAATATAATTATAGAAAAAGATATAATTGAAAAGCAAAAACCTACTTTTTTTTTTTCTTCAGTTTTTGCCTTAGGTAAGTAAAAACTCAGATAAAATATTTGTGCCTGATGACTTCAAAAAGACAGTCTTCTCTTTTGAGGAGAAAAATGGTTCTGAAATCCCCTTGTTGATAGTATCAGTATTGGCTGAGCTTGGCTCCTCGGTGTTATCAGATAATTTGTGTGTTTTCTCTTCAGAAAGCTAACTCTACGCCAACTTTCATGTGTCTCAACTCTTTCCATCCATATCTCACCTTGCTATCTAGAGATATGAAAAGAGAATTTAGGAAGTGCTACTGAACAGTTAAGACCACATCCAACGGAGCCTTTTAGGAACCCTGGTGCTTCTAAGGGCTGTGAAAGTATGGAAAACTTCCCTTTCTAGGTGGCAGGACTCAGAAAGCCATATGGAGACACAGCGTCTCCCCACCCCCTGCCCACACGGCCAACTCAGTACTGGGACAAATTTGGTAAATGTCACATCTAGACATTTAAGTCTGCCTCAGATTTTTGTTGTTTTATTTCCTATGGAGAATTTGTACACTTTAAAAATTACTTAGTTTTTATTAATTACAGTTTATTTACTTTGTAGCATCCTACCTCTGCTTCTCCCAATCCCACTCTCCCTCCCTCTTCTCCTCCCATACTCCTCCCCCCCAGTCCACTGATAGAGGAGGTCCTCCTCCCCTTCCCTCTGACCCTATTCTATCATGTCTCATTGGGACTGGCTGCATTGTCTTCCTCTGTGGCCTGGTGAGGCTGCTTCCCTCTCAGGGGAAGGTAATCCAAGAGCCAGCCACTGAGTTCATGTCAGATTCAGTCCCTGTTCCCCTTACTAGGAAGCCCACTAGGAGAATGACCTGCCATGGGCTACATCTGAGCAGGGGTTCTAGGTTTTCTCCATGAATGGTCCTTGGTTAGAGTATCAGTCTCAGAAAAGACATTTGCCTGTCACTTTGCCAAAACAAATATGCTTGGTATTAGTTGCCTAGGTTGATATAGACAGCATAAGCCTCACTGTCTATGAGGCTTATGTTCAACATTTTTACT